CTTCGTATGGTTCTTGTGGTCTAACTATTATATTAAATGCCAAATAGGGCTCAAAATCATGAGATCGTCGCACCTGTAGGTCATTATAACATACATGTACTAAACATTTACTGTATTGTATAATATAATAAATACAATTCTGATATCACAAACTTCAATGAATACAACACTAAAAGTTGTAAACGTTTGATGATTAATATTTTTATCCATTTATTACATAATTTCTAAATTAATGTTAATAAGTTTATGACCAATATTTAAAATATACGACAGAATGCATAACCCGAGTATAAGCACCACATTTCACGCATTTATAAAATAAACGTTTTCAATGCAAAAGTTGTGGCTTACGTTATATCGTAGATAATCGGTAGTAACGGAGGATATCTCAGTCAAAATACACTATATTTATGCCAATAAAATACTGCATATAATAATAAAAGTGACAAAATATGGATAAACACTGTGTTGTGTTGACTGAGAATATTGCAGTTGTCGACAGAATTAATAATAGACTCAAACTTCATAACAAACTAAACCTATCATTTCATGATTGGATATGTTGTCAAACTTTTGGTGAGTCGTTATATTTCGGACACAAATGTTTCCCAAATTATAACAATAACCAAAAATGACAACAGAAAGACACGACAAACAGAATATTCATGTAAATTATATTATATTTTTGTTTAATTTAACTTTTGGTGAGTCGTTATATTTCGGACACAAATGTTTCCCAAATTATAACAATAACCAAAAATGACAACAGAAAGACACGACAAACAGAATATTCATGTAAATTATATTATATTTTTGTTTAATTTTGTTATATTTATAATATTTTACTTACTTTTAAAACTTTCTAAAGAATCATAAGTTTTCCATTAGAAGTTTGCTCAATGATAACATCGACTCAACACATCCTTGTATTGGTGTTTGTAATGAAACCAATACTTCAGGTATTTGTTTCATTCGTCCCATTATTTTAATACGAATCTCTAAATAAAAAATTATTTAACAATATAAACAATTCAATCAATATTTACTGCTTTTAATCATTTTAATTGAAATCTTGTATTACTCTTATTATAAGACCAAAGACTTTCATTTTCTTATGTCTCAAAACATAATTCAATCAAAAAGTGCCGAAAATCGAGGACTGCTTTCACTGAAAATCAAGTCAGTTATAAATGGATTACTTATCAATTATTATGACAAATGTAAAAATCAATGTATTATTACTTATAATTTGGTGTTAAATACAAGTTAAAAGCACTCGAAGAGAGTTTCATTCATCACAAGTATCTCAATGTGAATGAAAGGTTTCGTTTGGCAAAAACATTACAACTCACTGATTGCCAAAGTATTTATGCTTTTAAACGCATTATTAGTTTAAAAACTAAATGTCAAATGTTTTTGCAGTCAAAACGTGGTATCAAAACAGGAGAACCAAATGGAAGAGACAGTGTTTGGTTGGTTCGGACATTAAGTCCAATAACATAGAGCCGTTCGCTTCCCATCATCTCATCAATCATCAGACAATCAAATATCTGTCGTTTTGGTCAAACAGATTCTCGCCTTCTTTCACAACGTCCTCACGAATCGGTCAAAACATAAAACCAACCATTTATTTGAAAACACAATCATTGAATCAAAGTTCTTGCGATCAAATGGCAAACAAACCAAATGTTTGGCGACCAATAAATTACTAAAATTTATAAATGGAAATAATATTTATATTAAATAATTAAAGCTTTATTAACAGCACATTTATTTCACGATAATTTTCAACTTAATTATAAAAATGTTATTAATTCACTTAAGTACAAAGCATATATTGAAAGTAATATTTCAGGAAGTCACAAGTCTGCAACTATTATAGTTGACTATAGGAGTATTAATTTTGTATAAAAAAAAACACACCATGTATTAAATATTCATAAATGGGTAAAATCCCACTAAAATGGGTACAAATTTTACTTTAAAAATAATTTTATAAATGAATATTTCAAATAACAATAATTGTCTCAAATACCGGTTTTCCAAAGAAATCTTGCATCACATTGAAAAATGCTAAATAACCACAATTATTTTTATTATATTTTATTAATTAGTTTGTACTCCATTTGATATCATATCATATACTAAATCCATATAAAATTAAATATTTAAAAATATTAGGAACGAAAGGAATCAATAGAATTATAATATAATGTAATGTATTATAATTCGTGATGAATGCCATCAATACTGATAAAAAGTCTGCTCCAAAAAGTGACTGAAAACAAAACCACTTTACGTACTAAAGCTAAACAATGAATTGCTGCATATTTATAGCACCTGTGTTCATTATTATTATTATATAAATATATTTATTTTTTAATTAAATGCAATATTATTTAACATTAAATATAAATCTTATTTAAGTAAATATTTGTACTGTATTTTCAGTTTTTGTTAACTAAGAGTCCGCATAGAATCGAGTGAAATGTCGGTTATTTGTGTTATGAATGTAATTTAATTAAATTTAATGAATAATCTTTTCGCTCTTTTGTCATCAAATTTTTTTGTATTTCTATAGCCATTAAATAATTAATATAAAATGTATAAATGAACACAATTTATAACCAGACTATTACTTACGTTTGCTATGATGTGTTGCGGCCGTCAATCAGCGGTTCAGCTTTCATCACATATTTATTCACACGAATAGGCATTAAAGGCATGAATATTCATAAGAAGAGTTAGACAATGTTTTTGTAATAATTAGAAACTTTATTGATATAAACAGATATTTATAGTCATATAATAATTATTATACTATTTTTCGCTTAAATATCAATATATCCATTATTTTACAGCAATTTGTCCTATAATTATAAAACATTAATTCTTTATAAAGATATGATCAAAGTTTGACTCAAAGTCTTTGAATGCTTTTTATAACAACATTTTTGAGTTTCAAAAAGTCTCACTTGTTTTTTGCTAATCAATTAATCAATCAATCAATTAGTGGTTTAGAAACAGACAAAAAGTAATCGTTTGGATGAATGTCTATAAATTATTTGAAACATTTGACCAAAAACTGTGGCTTCAAATCAATATAACTATCGGATCATTCATTTAAATAATAGCATCATTTAAATGGTATTTAAAACTCAAACAAACTCAACAAAACTCAATGCTTCTATGAATTAAATGATTTTTGAAAAAACACTCAATTCATTCGTCATTTGATTCAAATAACTATTTTTTGGGTTTGAATTTACAGCAAAAAATGTTACAAAAAACATTTTTTCGTTATAAATGGTTTTAACAGAAATATTTGCATATTTGTTTATATCTCTCTGTACACAACGTTTTGTGATTAATTCAATTCATATCAAAATGACTGCATTTTAGTTTTTAATTGTCATTAATTAATGTTTTGTATCGTTAATTACTTTTATAAATCAAATCAATATTTCGTGTTTTATTATATAATTTAATAGACTTTGTTGTGACAAATGAATATCAAAATCAATTGTTTAGAGAAGAGATTTATGTTTTATAAATATATAAATTTGTTTGTATTAAATATCATTTATTCCAATATTAATGTATCAATCATTCGTCTAAAACATAATATCCTAAATGTTTTGCTGTCTTCAAACCACTTACGCCTCAATTGTCTTCATTTTCATTAAAAATATTCTTTTGTTGACTTTTATCCGACGATTCATTCAATTGGGACTCACTATCAAAACCAGTGGACTCTTGTTGTTGAGGTACTGGAGCGCCAGTCATGGGGCCGACGATCATAGGCTTCATCTGAGGCGAAGAACTCATTGGTTTGATTTTAGTGGGAGAGCTGTTCTGCGATGAGCTGTTAATCCACGGATAGCCACGATTGGGACCTTCGCTCTCGCCTTGTGTTGGACTCGAAGGACAGGCCTGTGAATGGCTTTGAGGGTTAGTCACGGGTGCGGTATTGCGAGCCGTGGTTTCGTTGGACTTATACTCGATGTTCACCCCCTGCCACCACTTGTTCGCAGACGTGTCCTCATTCACGGCCTGATCTCCGAGTCTGATTCGGCGCCTCTGATGGCGCGACCCCTCAGTTATCACATCATTAAGCGCTTCGGGAGGACTACTGTCGGCGTCGTCAGGCATTTCCGGATATTCTTGATCTTCGGGTTCGTCTTCGGGAGGACACAACTCGTGAGCCCTCGACAGAGTGACGCGTGCGCTGTGAGACCGCTCCAGATAGTAGCCATTACTGGTCTCGTTTGACTGCGCGGGTGGCGACCAGTTGTTGTAACCGTACTGAGTGTTGGCCGCGTAGGGCCGCCTCTCGAGCTCGTCGTTAAGCCACGTGACAGCACTCGACCACTTCCTCCTGAGTTCGACGGTTTCGTGTAATATTTGGTGCGCTAACGGACACGACTGGAATAGTGTGACCAAACATTTGATGCACTGATACGCGCGCTTCTGGTAATGCGTTTTGTTTCGGTGTATTGTGTCGAACAGCGCTTCTCTATCTTCGGGAACGCCTGGAATTGATTCAATAATATTAGACAAAATCAATCAATAAATGAATGAAACAACAATTGAAGCAATAGTTACCTCCTTTGAGGGCATTGATAATGCGATGCGTTTGCCACGAGTCCTCCAAAAGCAACATTTGGAGCAATAGATCCAAATGAGGTCTGAGTTCGTAGGCATAGGAGTACGCGATTTGCCACAAGAGTTCGTTCAATACTGTGGAGGAGAAGTGAGGGTTTTCCCAACAGCAGAATTTCAACAACTTTATGGTGTCGTCCGCACTGTTCGCCTCTTCGATCACTTTCTTAATATAATTGGTTTTATTGAACAACAATTCGGAGACCTGTGGCTGAATCGGTATGAGATAGTCGTCTAAATCTTCGGCAATGAATGGATTCAAAACGCGAGGATTGCCGGACATTGAAGACATGGTTTTGGAAGAAACATCGCAACACCTGACCAGAAGACTCACCACGTGATAGAGTTTGCCTAAATCCGCGTATTGGTATTTGATGGGAGGGCCCGGACCCTCGTCCAGCGCCACTAATATAAACACTTCGGGTACCCCTTGTTTCAGGAGCTGTAGCTTTTCAGCCTTTCCTAATGAGGCATACGTTGAAAACATACTGAAATATTGGCCTAAATTTCGACTATAATCTGACACTTCTTTCCGAAGCAAGTCTAGTGTCGACCGAATTAAATAAAACGATAAATTGGATACTGAAGGCTCTGTCGGGTGGGCTGTTAGAGTAGAGGCACAAAACAAGTCAACAATTTGTCAACAATAAGCAAACGTCGCGTCACTTACAGGTCGGTTGCACTTCCAGTTGAGATCCTTCTTGAAGGGCATAATGAGCTAAAAATATAATTATTTTACTAAAAGCCGCCCTCACGTCAGCCGACGGACATTCCAGCAGATATTCGCTGAATCGGTGGGGATGTGCTAACAGGACTTTAGTGGTGAACCAATTTCTAATTGTGTCGTTCACTCGCAAATGCAAACTCAACACTTCGTACCACTCCATCGCTGGTCCGCTAAAAACGTTAAATGTAAAAAAATATGGTTAGAAATTATACCACAATTAAGTCAAATATATAGCCATTGATTACTAACCGAAGAGTCTTTTTAGTTCGAAGACAAGTGGAGAACAAAAACTTTGCGGCCAAATGTGTGCTAATTGTGGACAACTCTTCAATCAATTTGCTGTTGTCTTTGTTGGGGACGTATGAGTGAGCGATCTGTCCGTTAGCGCTGACCAACTTCTTCATGAATTGGTAGTATTCATAACTAAACTGATTCTTTGTGTGCATGAATCGTATATTCTGTCGCTGAACGCTGTGCTCGATAGCGACCGGCATTTTATATAACTTGTTATCATTAGTTTTGGATTCCATTAAAACTAATTCGTTGAGTCGTTTGGCGAGCGCTGTCTCTTCGGTGTCGAGTCGTCTATAGATGAGTATATACGCGTTCCACCATCTCTTCTGGCGCCGACACGACATCCTCTTCAGCATATGGTCAAACACTTCGCCCATATAATCGCCGCCAAAGCATTGCACTCTCATCTCCTCGTCCTCATCGAGCTTACACTCGGAGACGTCTCCGTCGTCGAACTTAAACCACTTCTTCGTTCCGTTATTACTCTTATAGAGAATATACGAGTAGTAATGACCGCCACTGGCCTGACCTGAATGCACAACAATACCACACAAGTCGTATTTAGTGCACTGTTTCTCCTTCTCGGCGAACGCCTCCTCGTCCTCATAGGCGCCGAGCTCTTCGTCGAAGAGCTGACCGTCCACTTTGGCGAGACCTCTCACAGTGTAAGGTTCCATATCGAGCAGACGCGGGAACTCAAAGTAATCGTTGAATTTAATGGCACACTCCCTCTCCCAGTCGTAATCAAATCTCTTCAGTTGAATGGCCAGCACTGACGGTAACTTCTTTATGCACAAGCGTTTCATTGTATCCACTTTTCGGTTACACTTTTCGCAGTGATAAGCGTTGGCGCCCTCCAGAAGGTCTCCCTTCACGTACTGTTCCAATGAGTCCAACAAATTGCAGTGATTTCTAATGTCTATGTTTAATGTCGTGAATGACTCTTCTCTCGAGTATCTGTCAATTGCAAGAATGAGTTGAACCACAAATTGTCAAATCGTTTCAAAATGATTGCATACCTGTGCGGACAATCCCTACAAATTTTTTGGTCGGCAAAAGTGCCGCCCAATACGCTCGACATAATCGGTGAGTGACCTAACGATTTGAGCGCTTCGTCTAAACTATCGACTAAACTATTGAAAAACTCGAGCGCATCGTGTTGTTCACGAAGGTTCACGGGTTCGCCCCATAATCTGTACGCAAGTAAAATATATGTTAATATTTACACCAATTTGTTTCATATCAAGAACTCACTTAAAATGTCTCCAAAAGCCTTTGGGAACATAATATTGACATTTACTGAGAACTAAGTGACCAAAAATGGCTTGAATTTGCTTAAGAACTCCTAAATTATAATCCTTTCGCGAGTCATTCTTCACAACCTCTTCGGTTCGGTTTTGATCTAAATTAGAAATACTTAAATGTATTGAATCGTTCCTCTCCTCGCCAGAGAAGTCCTCATTGGGATCAGTGGCAGCGCCTTCTATTGCTAAGATTCCGTCACGTATTTCCTGAATCATATATAACTAAAACAAACAAAACATTAGAAACTAAACTAACAAAAAATGGTTGTAATAATGATTTAAAACTAATGGCAAAACCTGTTGGAGAACGGAATTCATATAACAAGTGGCGCCGGCATTCTTGAGGCCAACAAAGCCTCGCGGAGGCCGCGGACCGATTGGCGGCAAATACTCCCAATCGACGAGCGGCTCGTTGTTTGAATAGAACATCTCGACGAGAGTGGAGGCCGTGAGCCGTAAGTTGAAGGGACAACCCGTGCAAAGAGCGACCAACACGTCGTAGGCAGCGGTCAGAGTGGAGGGAGACGTGCAAATGGGGTTCACTTCTTCCACATGTGTTCGGTTGGCGTTCTTCTGTTGATTCGTCTGACATATAGCTCGAGACGACGGGAATATGTATTCATCGATCAATATAGTGATCAATCCGTGCCCTTCGGGACCCCAAATGCCATTCTTATCACAGCCGACATCATATTTTTGTTCGCAATCCAAAAGTGAGATAATTTCTTTAGTTATACCCAAATGTCCCTCCAATTGGATCTCTTCGATGAGTCCGTCGACAACAAGATTTGTCTGCAAACAAAAACACGACAATTAGAGCAGTGCTTAGGAGTGGTAAGGGTTGGCAGTGACTGACCCTAACATTCCTCAATTGTTGCATTTCGTAATTCAAAAGATCGGAAGCGTTTGGAAGCAAACACTTTGTTTGTGACGCGTAGTTAAGAAGTCGACAAAACAATTGGAAAAACTCTTGAGATGACTGGTAGTGGGTCTCCATTGGAACCGTTGAACCCAAATGGTTGTGCAATAACTGTATAAATCTAACTAAAAAGTCCTGTTCTATCGCACACTTCGTGGCGATCAGAGCCAACTGTTCCATAGAAGTCGAACGAATAGATCTGTCAAATGGATAACAATATAAATCAATTCAATTAAAACCAATCACAATGGTTTCATTGGACATACTTTTCGCGACAGATTAGTAGCAAATCAATGACAAAGGTTTGCCACATCTGCTCCTTCATGAGCACTACTAATACTTCGGGCGATAACATGAACATCACAGTCAACACTTCAATGGCCTCTTTGCACACGTGATACACTTCGGCCGGACTCTCGACAACTACTTCGGAAATCAATTCATGCAAGTGTTCGGTGGATGAGTGGAGCGCAGACTCGCGACCGGTGGCCGCCGACCACGACAGCAGCATAACCGACGAAATAGTTGTCTTATCGGGTCTATAGTTAACAATATTGTTATAGATTTGATTGCTATCACAAACGCGAAGAATTTGAGCGATTCGTTGCGCGACATTCCGTGTCATACACTCAGAGGAAACGTTTGGAATACTTTGAATGGCGTCTTGTAATGTGATTATCAGGTTTGGAGAGTTAGCAGACATCGGTGTCAACACACAGTTGGCGATTGTGGTGAGCGTTAGTTTGCTTATCTTCAATACAATCAAATACGCGCACCTATGGGTCAAATGAACACATCGTTAGATCAACGCATATAAAAACATGATTCTAGAAAATGCATACATTTTGCTAAAGTCGTCGGCATTTGAGAGAAAATTATTTTTTGTGAGTAATTCAAGAATTTTCAAACCGCAGCCGCTTTTCATAAAATTCAATTGAAATTCTTGTGCCTCTTCTGAGATGGGATTAGAGGCGGGAATAAGAAGCGAATAAATAATTCCCATATTATAGATAATACGAGTCGGAGAAGTATCAAAAAATTCTGAATCAAATTTGAGTCCCTGTTCTTCATATGAGATGCCGGGCGGACACAAACACAACTGTTTGATGTGTTGAATGGTCTGAGTGTCGGCCGGCATTATTTTGAGCAGAGATAATGCACTTTCGCGTAATGACGGGTTATTTAACGACATCCCAATGTCTGCCAATTGGAACAAGAATTGAGCGAATTGTGGCTGATTTGACATTATCTACAATACAAGACACACATTGTTTTGGTTAACACTATCGACATATCAATAGTTAAACACATTACCACTCCTGGCAGACACGCCTCAGCCTCTGGATTAGATCCAATGTATGGATTGTGTGGCGAACCCGTGGAACTATCCGACGATGAGTCTGGAGAACAGGCCATATTCGAGTTGACTTGAAATAGTTTACCAGTTAGAGACTAAACACAGAAATGCAATTGTATTTCATATATCATCTAATATTAAATCAAATCAAATTCAAACCATTTTGTCTTTAAAAGGCAATTGTGAGACCAGTTTTTTGTCTATTGGATCTAATAGATCGCCATTCATATAGAGATCTACTTTCATGTTTGCATTGTTTACTTTAATCCTATTTAATAGTTAAGATATAAATCAATAGAATATAAAAATAAAATAAACCATATTTTCATACTTTGATAGAATCTGTTGCCTAATTGAATGCAAAGTATCGTTAGTATGCGTCCAGATCTCAATGTCGTCCACATGTCGGCCATGATTTGGAAAGCGAATGATTAGCATTAGATGTTTGCCACGAAAGGATCGACTCATTGGCAGAATAGTGCGCTCTTCGCCGAAATCATTGTCGCATTGGTTCACGTATTCGTAGAGCGCGTCCAACACTCGAGTCATTTTTGTCATCTCTTGTCGGACACGTGTCTCGGAGGACAAGTCCTTCTCGAGGATGGAAATGGTGTCATAACTGGCGCGCAATCTGTCAAAGCATGTGGTAATAAAATCCTCGTGAAGTTCCACTTGCGATGACTGGAGTTTGGGTCCGAGATTAGTGTACGTCTCTTTCAGCAGTTCTATGGCCTTTCGGGCCACGTCTTCGCTGCAACACAGAATAACTCTCCATAAATAGTCTATTCCTATGAGTTCGTTGTCTTCCATTTGATAGAAACGTCTCTTTGCAATCAGTTTTCCCTCCTTTACGTTCACCGCTTTGAAGAATCGGTCGAAACACTCGATTCCAGTTTCAGTCACTAACGACGGGTCCAATTGGAGGATATTATTCTCAAAAAAGTTTCGGTTTATGTCTGGATCTAAATCCGGTTCGTCGCTCATCAGTTGCGAGAACCACCGAAAGCACGCCTCTCTGTCCTCGAGATAAACGGCATTCTCTGCCAAACACTTCCAGATCTGTTTCGCTTGCGGTGAACACAACCACAACTGACCGTCTTTTAGGAGAAATCGCAAGAAATTGAGTCTTTCCTGAACTTCTTGGACGTGAGAGAATCGACTGTCGGGATAGACGTGATTGGGATTCAAGTGTTTGTTCTCTTTATATAGAGTCCGCACTCTATTCATATATGAGGACAGGTTTTCCGACACCAGTATCACAAGCGAGTGCTGGTTCTGGAGTCGAGATATAATTTCGTGCCTATATATCAAATGTGTGACTCTTTGATGGTGTGAAGTGTTGGCCGAAATGGTGGGACCGGAGACTACGAAGTTTGGCGGCGCCTCGTTATACAGGGAACAAACCTCACGGATCTGTTTCAGTGCAGGCAATACCCAAAAGCCACCGTTCGGTTTGTTCAGCTCTTCTACACATTTGTCTAACCATTCAGTCTTCTGTGAGTCTCTATCCTGAGAGCAACTGTAGTCTAATATTTTAACGTGAGCTCCGAGTGCCTGATCCATGATATCGTTGGGCACATCATCAGAATGAGCCAAATTCCACAATAGATTCAGCACTTTGTTGGCCATCAGTCCGTCCTTATCGTCTTCGGCTAAGCGTCGGATCAGTTCTAAGAGTTTCTCTCTCTGTTTTTTAGTGGCTTTAGTCCAACTCGACTGAAAGCATTCAAAGAGATGATCCAACTGTTCGGGCGCGAAATCCCAGGCGAGCTTTGCCAACAAGTCGTGTACGTTCTTCACGATGGCCTCGTGTTTGCCGCTCTGCGCCGACCAGACGTCGTCCAAGTCTTCCAGAGTTAAGGCCTTCTCTTTGATGACAAAACGAATAATTTTCTCTAACTTCTCGACGTATTGCGGCTGATGTAGAGAATCTCTTAACACAATTTGCAGCACTTTGTTCTCCTTCAGCCATTCGGCCATCTTCTCGGCGGTCAGCCATTCCTCCTCATCGACACCAGTCATACATCCGGGGTTTTGGTGTCGATGCGAATAATAGGAAACATTTGTGATCACTTTATTCACTTCGTTGAGAGCATTCATTTTGCCGTTGAATGACGAGATTTGAAGCAATCGTAAAATAGTCTTTAGCCTAAAAATCTCTAAACTTTTAATCATCTCCTCTTCGTTTGGTATGCGAGACGTCAAACACTTCAATGCCTTCACTATTCCGGAGAGCGCGTCGTTTTTGGTCTCATTCTTGGCTTCTTTCTTGAGCTCATCGTCGGTCAGATTATCCAAGAATTGAGGCACGAGTTTAACAATTGGTAAAAAATATTTCTCAACCGTTTGCGGCGTTAATAAGTCGTAACAAAAGCCAAACGGTTTCAATAGTGCGGCGATTAGAGGAACAGTAAGTGTTGGCCCGCTTTCGAAACGCTCTAATAATATCCGAAAACCGCCTGATTTNATTGGTAAAAAATATTTCTCAACCGTTTGCGGCGTTAATAAGTCGTAACAAAAGCCAAACGGTTTCAATAGTGCGGCGATTAGAGGAACAGTAAGTGTTGGCCCGCTTTCGAAACGCTCTAATAATATCCGAAAACCGCCTGATTTCCCAAATTTGTTAATCAAGTCTACGAGCCATCCCCGAGGCGTCCGCGGGTCCGGACTTTTGGCAAACACTTCTTCGTCCGGCGATCGCACAGTCATTTCGGGTCGAGTGCTCGTAAATGAGTGAAATCTGCGTTCAATTCAAGTGTTAATCCATATAGTTATTGATCATTTCATGAATTACTGACTTATTGGATGGACAGAAGACCATTGAGAGCAGATCTAAGAGCGGAAACCAGTCTTGATTCAGTTTAAGTACAATCAATTCGATGAGTCGCTCGCAGTTACTCATTATACATCTCTATACCATTCAAAAACAAACATTCAATCAGTTATTTAATGACAACATGTTTTAAAAAGATAAATATAGCGATTAATTATTAATAGAGATTTTATGACTCATTTGTAAACAAATGATAATTAAAGCTAAATATAGAAAGTCTTACGTGAATATCAAACTTCCATCCATTGACGGCCTCATCGGTCAGTATTTTAGTGAACGAAATGGTGAGCCCCT